ACCAGGTCTATCAGCTACAGCATCGGTGGTGGTGGTGGTGGCTCCATCAGGAAGTCTGGCTACTCCAGCCAGTCAGCCTACGCACTTCCCGCCGGCTCTAGCAGGGTCAGCACTGTGTCCAGTGTCAGGAGATCTGGTGTGGGTGCCGGTCCAAGCTTCGGTGCAGGATTCGGTGCTGGAGGTGGCAGCTACAGCTTCAGCAGCAGCAGCATGAGTGGAGGCTACGGTGGTGGTCTTGGTGGAGGTCTCGGTGGTGGCTTCATTCCACCTCCCATCACCGCTGTAACCGTCAACCAGAGCCTGTTGGCCCCCCTCAACCTGGAAATTGACCCCACGATTCAGGCTGTCCGCACTCAGGAGAAAGAGCAGATCAAGACCCTCAACAACCGCTTCGCCTCCTTCATTGACAAAGTGAGTATTCATGCATTCGGTCTCTCTTAAAATAACACTGACTTTTACATATCATGCATATATTCATAATGATATTGCTGTGCACTGTGCCTGTAGTGCATTCAAATACAGAATTCTCATTTTATTACTAGGTATGACCTTTGAACGAGTGACTCTTAACACTGGATGCCTTTAGTATTACTACACACCATAATAGCTTGCAGCTGTAAAAAACTGAGTGACACTTAAAAATGTGTTCTCTTGCACAACAACTTTCTTTCAGCATATCTGCAAGCTAAGTATTTTTCATAGATGTAAACGTTTCATCTGATTACACCAGAGCCAGTATCTTTACTAATCGGGCAGTACAAGCAAAGCAGTAGTAATAGGCTAATCAGCTAAAGTAAATGTTAAATCATTTGTTCTAGATCTCTCTAAGTATGGCTTTAGCCTTGGAAAAAAGTCCTCAGAAACCCATGACTGAGGCTATCCAAATATGGGTGGAGTTTAATAACCTAGCAACCATGTGAGTCATAGATACACATACTGTATATAGAGTGTGCTAGATGAATCCAGTGTGTGTAGTCCAAAGTCTAGACTTTATTACGCCACAAAAATTGCACACAAACATATCCATTTGTGTCGTATATTTTTTTATTTCATTCTCTTAAAAAAAAAAAAAAAACCTTAGTCAGCTGTATGTTACACCCATATTTGGCTGCAAACAAACACTTCACAACTTTCTGAGCAAATGTGGACAGAAGACACACCCTGAAGGCCATGCAGTCAGCACATACACACACACCTTTATTTTTTAGTGCCTGTGGGAGAATTTGCAGTAGGCAGTGTGTGACCAGGATGAGTCATCAGGACCATAGCCACCAGACGCTCCAAACTTTTACTCTGCTTTATAACTTTCTAATAGGTTACAGGTCAAAGACTATGCCAATAAATGCCTTTGAACTTTTTCTGAGGTTTAAGATAACAGGGAAATGTAAATCATTGTTAATGTAAGATAATTAAATGAAGAAGTCTTAAGGAAAAGTGCACTAATATTTCCATGGTACATCAAGGTTGCATACATCTAAAAAAAAATGTATGAAGACAAGTTTAGTAGATTATGAGCTAGACAGGTGCTGTCATATATGGCTGATCTCCAAAGACCACACACAAAACCTGCCTTAGGGTGTTGCAGGTATGTCTTGTTTCTCTGATGTTGTTGCTCTGTTTTATCTGTGAAGCAATGCAGGTTTGGGGCGAGGCCAATACTGGAAGTTTTTTCCAGTCTAGGAGTTTGTAGCTTGTGCGCAGCACTGCCACACCCAGTCAGTCCACTTTCACCTTCCCTTCCCGCCTTCCCTCACTCCACCCTGCAGAAAAATGCCTGCTAAAATGACTCATGGTCATTTGTATTCCCTTAAACAATGCTTCCAGAGAGAGAGCACAAAGAGACTTAAAGAGCTAGGACTACAAAGGAGTCATACAAGACAGACAAAACCATCAATCCACTTCATTTATTCATTCATTCACTACTTTTTTTTTCAAAAATGCAGTCTTACTCAACTACATTGTTAACCTCCAAGGAGCTTGAAAGTGAATATCTTCAAATAAAAACCACAAAATTCTTTCTTTGTTTCCATAGGTGCGTTTCCTGGAACAGCAGAACAAGATGCTGGAGACCAAATGGAGTCTCCTCCAGGAACAGACCACCACCCGCTCCAACATCGACGCTATGTTTGAGGCCTACATTTCTAACCTGCGCAGACAGCTCGATGGCCTGGGAAATGAGAAGATGAAGCTGGAAGGAGAGCTGAGGAACATGCAGGGCCTGGTTGAGGACTTCAAGAACAAGTGAGTTGTAATTTTGAAATTGAATGATCTGATGGAAAACAAACCTCACTGAAAACAGAATAGATTTACTCACATTTCCTTTCTTTAAACAGGTACGAAGATGAGATCAACAAGCGTGCTTCAGTAGAGAATGAGTTTGTTCTGCTCAAGAAGGTGAAGACCATTTATCTTTTTCTTTAAAAGACTTACCTTTTTCACTCCATTAAGGTTTTTTGTAACAGCAATAGGGTATAATGTCCTCTCATTTTCTTTTAGGATGTTGATGCAGCCTACCTGAACAAGGTTGAGCTTGAGGCCAAGGTTGATGCTCTTCAGGATGAGATCAACTTCCTCAGGGCAGTCTATGAGACTGTAAGTTCAATTCTGTTGTGTTTGGCCAACCAAAATTTGTTAGTAGCGCTGCTTTGTAAGGGTAGGTAATTTACTGATTGTTTGGTCTGCATTTGCAGGAACTGCGTGAGCTCCAGTCTCAGATCAAGGACACATCAGTTATTGTGGAGATGGACAACAGCAGAAACCTGGACATGGACTCCATCGTGGCTGAAGTTCGTGCTCAGTATGAGGACATCGCCAACCGCAGCCGTGCCGAAGCAGAGAGCTGGTACAAACAGAAGGTTGGTCAAGCTCTCATAGCTTCAACTCTTGAAGATCACCTCATCTGTGGCCATGCAAGTGCTCATTTGTGTCAATATTTATGTTACAGTTTGAGGAGATGCAGTCCTCTGCTGGTCAGTACGGGGAGGACCTCCGCTCAACCAAGTCTGAGATCGCAGAACTCACCCGCATGATCGCCCGCCTGCAGAACGAGATTGATGCCGTCAAGGGACAGGTAATGATGAGCAAGGGTTGATACATAAATGGTTCACATACTGTTTATGTAAAGAGGCTGACTTTATGTATGTTATTGTCACTTTAGCGTGCCAACTTGGAGGCTCAAATCGCTGAGGCTGAGGAGCGTGGAGAGCTGGCAGTGAATGACGCCAAGCTCCGTATCAGAGAGCTCGAGGAAGCCCTCCAGAGGGCCAAGCAAGACATGGCCCGCCAGGTGCGCGAGTACCAGGAGCTCATGAACGTCAAACTGGCCCTGGACATTGAGATCGCCACCTACAGAAAGCTGCTGGAAGGAGAGGAGAGCAGGTAGGAAGTTTTAAAAGAATATTTCGTTGATATTTACACTCTCAAATCTTTTCGACAAACCTTAAGGTTTGAAAAAACATCACTAAGCAAATCTGTTGTCTTCTTTACTCAGACTGTCTAGCGGTGGAGCTTCAGCCACCATTCATGTACAGCAGACCTCTGGAGGTCTCTCATCTGGTAAATAACTCTCTCTGTTTCTCTGAATCTCTCATCTTTCTTAGAATCTCATTCTCCAGGTCTTGTTGGATACGTGTCTAAACTTTCTTTCTCCTGCAGGTTTCTCTGGTAGCGGCGCTGGATTCGGCTATGGCGGTGGTTACGGTGGTGCTTCAGGATTTGGTGGTGGATCAGGATACGGTGGTAGCTCCATCAGCAAAACCAGCGTCACCAGTGTCAGCAGTCAACGCTATTAAGGAGAAGCGCCCCCCAACCCAACCCGGCATCCTATCTTCCTTACCTGCAACTAGATCACTCTGAACCTTCTTACAACTCAAACAATCTATGGTGCTATATTCTAGCCAGACAGATATCCCCTGTTAATGAGGAGATGAAGACAATGATTTCTTAAACATAAAATAAGTTTTAGGTTGCTCTGTGCGTTGATGGTAGATACACATAACATACATCTCTTGTCTGGTGGCATCACTGCCATTTTAAATCATCAACCCAACTACACTAAAATGACACCAGAAAGAATGTAACGGAGAATATGTGCTCCCAGTCACTGAATTGTTTTATTTCTGCACTGATATGTATGGGGAAAGTGAGACTTGAGTGAACTATATACACATAGAAACCACTGAAGCCATTTAGGCCCTTCACAACAATAGGATTTCAGTCTCATTAGCATAACCACAAGCAGTACCATGGTTTCACTGGATCAGGGATGTGCTATACAGGTCCTGAAAGTCCTGGTTGAATGTTTTGTGTCGTCTACAAGCTGTATTTTTGTTGTCAAATATGACTTTTGTCATTATGCAATGGCTGTCAGTGTTAGTTTACCTATTTGCTGTAAAAAGTACAATACTGTCAGCCTGTAACTGATGACAATGACTTGTGGGCTTCCAATGTCCAGTTACCTCACATTCAAGGGAGATCTGTTACAGCAAAAAAATAGGCACAATGGCATTTCCATGGACCATCCCTCCTAAACTTTGTGTACTTGCCCAGTTGAAAGAGAAGAGCTTCATTTACTGTGTGGTGACTGTACTACCTTATACTTCCCCCTTTATTCAAACTGCTTCCAAAGCATATTTCACAGTCCCTTTTATAAATGGCAAAAAAAAGCTACAAAAATGAAACCATGTTCAACCAGATTTATTTTGTATTGATTGACTTAACACCAACTTAATATCTGAATACAATAAATCTGAGACTAAAAGTTTTGTCTTGATTTGTCTTTGTTGCTTGAAATGTTGAAATGTTTTCACTAATTATGGGCAATTTTATTATCAAAGAACTACATCTGGATAAAAAATTAGACAATGGAACCACAAGAGAAACTAAAGACAGAATTAAAAAAAAAAAAAATTGTATTAAAACAGATACATTTAATATAATAATTACAATAAAGTTGATCCACTTTATGCAGAACTCCCTTATTCTTAATTATCTTATAACACTACAGTAGGTTAGTTAATTTTCATCATACAATTTTAGTTGCATTGCCTTTGATATCTAAATATTCTCTTCTCATGAACATTTTCAGTACAACCGCATTGCAAAATTAATTGACCTTTTGGCCTTTTTCAATATTTATCAAACATTATATTTAATGTGGAAGGTTGTTGGGAAGAATTTAAACAGATTAAATTTCTTTGGCTTGCAGTTGTTGAGGTGGGTAGCTGGCATTGTTATCTGGATTTTCAGCATTGGTCTGTGGAAATTCATTGGGCTGTACCTCTTGTGCAGCGGTTCTGTATTTACAAATATACACCAGAATTGCTAACCCAAGAGCAGTTGTGAGAACACCTGCAACAATTGGCACTGGATTGTATACTGCAAAATACAAACACAAATGGACATCAGTTAAATAAAAAAAAAATAATGAAAATATTTAGGGGCACAGTCAAAGTTCAGTTTTTAACCAGTTTTAAGGACCTTGATCTTTGTAATATGGCGGACATGAGTATTGTGTCAATAACAAAACAGTGCTAATGCGGTTTCAACATATCTTGGTTTACCAAGACAAAGCAAATAGTATTTCAGCTTGTCCTTTGATCTTAACATGTCAGTTCTTAAGAGGTGACCTGCTCCATTTAAAATAAACACATTTAATTTGGCTACTAATATGACAGTGGTCTGTTCTTTCTTTAGGGGTAATTTTTTAATGATGTAAAAATTATGTCATTAAAAGTGCAAAATGCACTAACGTGTGTCTCAAATACAAAGTAGTAGCTCAGCACTGCCCCCTGGCGTTTGTTCTTTAAAATTCTGCATTAAACAGTAGATAAGAGGTACAGAGTACTATGACTTAATGCAAAAATGTGCTGTAACAGAGTCATTTATCTTAGTTATAATGCATCAAAAATTTAGTTGTTTATAGGAACTCACTGTAAATGAAGACTGAATTGCTGGGCTGAGACGTTGGTTTTATTTTTGAAGACGTAAGATGGAATACACATTCATACTCTCCTTGAGGCACTGGGGCATACTGTGTGATAGACTCGGGGAAGCCTGGTGTGCTGTAACTTTGACTCAAATAAGCACCGTCCCTTCTAAACTCTAAGTACCCCTAAACAGGAAGGAAAGACTGTTTAAAAGACGCCTGCTGTATATGTACCAAAAACATTATTTGAAATGTAATTACAAAACAATTCAGTGTAACAGCAAAAGTGTGAATGGGGTGATTTACATAGTCTTTTGATTTTAAATAAGCGGAGTCGATGGAGCAGGAGATTTTCACATTTTCTTTGTCCCTGACATACAGTTTGGGGTTAGGACCATACGTATCCACATACAGTTTAGGACGGGGCAATGCATCTGGCAAAGTGGAGAGTGAAAGGAAGACATTTATTAGAAAGATAAAAAGCATGAGGGAATTAGTCAGGTCCCATGAAATAAAACAGACACATTTTAAAACTCTCTCTTCAAATAGGATGGAATGTTGAGGATTAAGTTTGCACTACACTAATTTTTGTAATTTTCCCCCCTAATACTACCGGGAGCTCACTACCAAGTAAACAAATCATGGTTAATTAAAACGCATTAGGTAATTTCATGGGGCCTTTAAAACATTTTCTGGTAATATGTCATTGCAATAATTTTGTACAAGTAACCTCAAACTGTCTCACCTGAGCAAATAATATAGAGCATGCCTCTCTGTTTGCAAGCTTCAGTTTCCTCCATTGGACAATCTTTGATCTTTTTTTCTTTCCCGATGCATCTGATGCCCCCAACTGTCTGTGTGAACTGCCGTCTGTCATCCAAAAGCCTTTCCCACTTCAGCACATGCCCACATCCCAGTTCCCTACACACCACTTCAGCTGTGGCAGCAGCAGCAGA